CGTATTGATAGAGGGACACGCAGCTGTGTCTTGGAGCGTGTGGACGAGAGATTTATATTGGAGCAGCCAGTACGCTCTGTAATCTCTCCGAATCCATCCATCAGCGTTTGGCACTGTAACAGGATAGGCCTGGTCATGCAGCTGTGAAATCGCTGCCACCGTAATCTTCCCCCACTCTACTGCAACACGCTTACATAACCACTTTTTCTCTTGCATGTGCTTGCATCTGGTCCGTTAAATTACAATTTTCGGCTTATTTCTTTCAACTTTCAGGATGTGTTCGTCGTAATGACAAAGATGCTGGGCTTCAGCCTCCCCGTTACTCGAGAAATGATTGTCGAGTGTCCTCGGATCATTATCACCAGTAAGTAATTTTTTATTACTTCGATGCCTACAGTACCTAAATAGGCACCTTTTAAATGGGATACGCCGCTGGAATAGCGCTCCATCCGGACAGAGTTGACAGCATTGTAGTCAAAAAAAACAATTCTGAACCAGGACTATGGGCGGAAGAAACAAGTGCATGAGACGGAAATGACGTATGGAGTGCTCGGGCAGCCCAATCTTCACGGGCTACAACTTCGTTCCTTTGTCAGTGGATTTAAATGCAGACTTGCCTTGTGTCTTTTATTTGACGCTGGGCTACTACAGTCTGATGGGTCGAGGATGCTGTCGTAAATAGTCCGTTATTCAGCCGTTTTTCGGTGTATTTACTGTTACCAACTCTGCGTAACCAGGGCGGATTGTGGAAAATTTGACGTCAATATCTAACCACAGTTGTCTCGTCTTCCACCGACTCAAACCTAGTTTGCCAATTACTTTTAAATGTTACTAAATGCTACGCTAGACTTACCCAAGCGGATTGCGAAAATTAGGTAAAAATGATTTCCTACTCACACCTCTATCGCTTTATCTCTACTATTATTGGATAGTTTAAGGGAATAGCTGCTTAATATCTGCGTTGAAATCTCTTCTAGGTCGTCGTGTGCTGTGCGAAAATTTTTATCACCTCAACTCCCGCCTCAACCTTCCTCTGGATGTAATTGCCAAGTCGCCCAAGGCCCTGACGTCCTCTCCGCGTATCCTTGCCGAAAGGACCAACTTCCTGGTTCACTGCAAGCTCTTTCAACCGGATGGCAGCAAGTACGTTAGTGTCCTTGCTTTTCCCCTCCCCCTCCCTTCTTTCTGTTACTCTGTCCTGGCTCAATGCTTCGTAAGCCGTTGGCGTGATCACAACTACCTTTTAACTGTATTGCCATATCGAGATTGCTGTTTGCGATCGAGAAGAATTTTTGTCCATCGCCACCGCTGCTTTGCCGTAAAGAGTAAAGTGTCAGAGAGCAATTTGAGGTTCATGAATCCTACGTCCCACACGACCCTGTTGGTGGCCAATACTGTATATGCGACGTTAAAATACTAACCGAAATCCATGTCGATGTGGATTGCGTACTAGTTGTATAATCCTTCCACTAGCTTAGAGGAAAAGAGTTGTGTGCGAAAACTGGGATTTCAAAGCTTTTCCCCAGACTAGACGCCGAAAGATATAAGGTTGTGGTTTTCGCCCATGTGGATTTGTCAGTTGCAGACATAATGATGACGGTTAGGAATAAAAAAGATTTTAAAAATTAGAGTATGTCAGACGAAAGACACAACTATCACCATGAAGCTCGTGGTCAACATCGAGGCCAGCATGAGAAGAACTTCAGTTTGCACCATACAAAAGATGACGGAGGTTTGCGTGCACACGCTCTGAGACATTATAAAGAGGATTGGGTTTTCAACTTACTCATTAAAAGTAATCAGGGTGACGGGTTGAAAGTGAAACGATCTTGGCGAATTTTGAGAGCCAGATGCTGGTCATTCTGTTCTCTGACCGGAAGTATTTAATGCATCGATAGGGTCTGTGCTAACAATCCTTGCAGACATAATATCTACTTCAAAACAAGGGATGCTCTCGCAATGGGAAAGTCATACACAAAATCTAGCGCACACCTTGAACGATGGTATTTGACTTCTTGGCTTAAAATGGTGTCAAAGTCTCTGCAAAATATTTCGGATGGAGAGATGAGAGTAAGCAAATCATATCTCACGGCCCCACCCTTCTCCCCCTTTGACACACCAATGCTTCCAGTGCCTGTTGATTGGGCCACTTGTGCACTTTTACCTATAGCGTATATTTAACTTTGTAACGGCGTCGGAAACCAGTAGAAAAAGTGCATGCTACTTAAGTACAGTAGGTTGCCAAACTCATGCAATCCTACGATTTTTACAAGTAAC